TCCCGGCCCTACAAAACTCAAATATGCTAATAGGCTACTTGTGGAGTTGCATGTGGACACAGAAACTGACGTGTGCTTCCCAGAGGCCCTGTTTGTCAAAGAAATGGTAGCCTAGCGGCGTTGCGCAGAGCATGATGCGAGCGAACAGAGCTAAGCGAGCGCCCACTCCCTCTCACTTACCCATACTGCCTCTGGATGAGCGCTGGGTGGATGGGCTGCACTCCGATGGATATGCCTGCAAGAGAGGAGGCTGGCTGTCAGACACACATCTGCATTTACAGAGGAGGGCTAGAGAACAATACACAGAGGGCATGGGGAGACAGAGGCAGAGCCTGTTTCGATCCTGCCACAGAACAACAATTTCAAATGTGTGGCGAGCAACAGTACCAACATGTATGCACTTGGGAAACTGGGTGTCGTTCGGCCCGTAAATAGTGGCAAGCTAAGAACACATGTTGCACAGTTAATTATAGTTTTTAGCCCTCATGGGGGTGGAGGGGGGGGAGGGGTGTATTTTAGCTAATCAGTTTGTAAAGATGACGTCTAGGCCTTCCCAAGAACTCAAACAAGTATTAAATAATCTTTTGATGATGGTGACCTCATTCTGTCAAGCAATCTGTAGTTCTGATGGGAGTTTGAACCTCACACCCGCTTTCAGTTTTATGGATACTGATAACTTTTGTTTTCTTGCAACAAGTCTTGAAATAAACCTCATCTTACCGGTCTGTAAACTACGAGGCTTGGCACCCAGGTAAGCCAGGTTGACGTTGGCCTTCCTGCCATCAATGATGGGGTTGGGATCCTTGCAGGCCCTCTCTGCTGCTCCTCGATCTGTCATAGTCACCTGGTGGCACAGTCGGAGGGAAAAAAAGTGTCATGTTACAAATAGCTTCATGGCTTTGGTCTGACAAATCAAAACAAAAACAAAACGCGCTTTAAAAATTAAAAAACAAAACAGGTTTTGGTCTTCACGAAAGCCCCCCCCCCACCCCTACAGGCTTTCTTCTGTTATGATCCAGTTTCTCTCAAGAAGGGGAAACTACAAACAAAGCACAATGATAATCTTTGAAAACTGCCCACAACAGCAGTAGCCGGCCACTCAGCTGCCACACGGCCATGGGCAGAGCTGCTGAAATATGGATCTGGGGAGAGCAACAAGGAGCTTATCCAATTAGGGCCAAAATAAGGAGATTGGTATTAGTCCACCCCTTCCTGGCATTAGTTGAGGCCTTCTGTTTTGATTGCCATGTTCTGCCAACACCGAGTCACCTCTGTGTGAGAAACGAGCAGCGAATGTAGGCCACAGATTGCATTGTTTAAGTGGACCATTTAAAAAAAAAAAAAAAAAAAAAAAAAAAAAAAAGCCTCTTCATCGTAGAAGGATCTGGAACAAAGCCCACTCAGAGCCTGTGTTGTGAACACACAGGAAGGAACGAGGCCGTGTTTACACTGAAGAGCCTTGCTGTGGGGGGGGGGGTTCTACTAATCCACCTCTGAAGTGTGTTTAGGAAAAAAAATAAAGAAGAAAAGAGGTGTACCCAGCTTTGGGCAACTCCCCTGCCCTGCTGCCAGCTACTTCTGCTCCAACTGAAACCCTCAGAAAAATAGAGTGAGCAGGTTGCCTCATGCCACACACACACACAAAAAAAATGTAACTCAGCATAAAGTGCTCATCGTGCCACTGTGTATCATCCTCGGCAGCACCCATATCACCCTGAGCCTGTCTAACCTGAAACACCAGCCTCCTCGCGAAGCCGCTCGATACCAGCTAGACTCACAGGACGGGCTTTCTTCTCAGTTAGAAGGCTGATGTGTAAACACAAGAGAGCAATTGTCTTACAATTGTGCCGTTAGAGGTAAACATGAACACATAACCGTTTTCCATTCCTTCTTTGGCCCGAGAGGTCGTTATTTGGGCTGATGCAGCTTTCCAAGTTCTAGTAAATATTTGCATTTCTTATGCGCTTCTGTTCTTTGTGTCAGAAAGAGTGCAGGTCTTTGTCTTGCGAGAACAAGACAAGTCACCTCTTAATGTAGTTTTACACTGGGCTTTGCAGGGGTTCTTTGACACTTCTCACTAACACAGTGTAAATCAACTATGGCCAAACACAGTTCCAATCAACACAATGCGATGACCTCATAAACAGCAGGTTTAAGCACAAGTCAACAAGTTCAGCTTGCAGAATGATGCGATCAAAGGGAAACTTAACATACATGTGGGGAATGGGATAAAGCCAAATTTACTGATGCTGGAATTTCTCTCAGCAGCCAAGATGTGATGTAAATCATGTGCTCCGGTCCTTGACAATGGAGGGCAGGGTGTACAAAGTAAGCCTCCCCACTGCTCCAAAATAACCATATAAAGCCAGCAAGAAGAGCAGGACACACACACACACACACACACACTTCCAAGAGCCATAAGCCGAGGCTGTTTAGGAGTGAATGAGGTGGGGGAGACTTGATTGGGTGGTGGGGGTGACATCAGACATATGTTGAATTATAATCTTCTTAGTTATCCATCAACTTGTGTGAGCCCTCATCCTCATTAAGCTAAAATAACAGCCAGCCAGGCAAAAACGGAGATGCTGCTGTGCAATTGTGCGGTTAAGCCTCAGTGTGTGTGCGCGCGTGTGTGTGTGTTAGGGGTTGTGGTGGGGGTGCATTTGACATGTATTTCAATGACTGAATGCTGTATTATGCGGAGTCACAAAACTCAAAGAGAGAGAGACACAGCAGCAAACAAAAAGATCGCTGTTATGTAGACACAAACAGAATTTAGCTGATAGATGATACGGTTTGATTGCGCTAAATGTCGTGAAAGCGAGCGGATGATAGTGAAAGTTTTGCTTCTACTTACGAAGCCGTATCCTCGGGATTTGCCGGTCTGTCGGTCCGTTATCACCACAGCCTCATCAATGTCCCCAAAGGCCTCAAAGTATTTTCTAAGTGAGGCATCGTTTGTGTGGTACGGCAGCCCGCCGACAAAGATCTTGGTAAAAGTAGTGTCTTTCTGAAGCGCTGTGGGATGCATGACGTCCAGGGCTCCGTTCATATACTGATGAAGAAGCATTGGATCAGCCGGAGACCAGTACTTGGCACGCGGAAGACTTAGAGCTAACAGAGTCCCAGCATCAGAGAAACCAAGCCCAGTCTCGCTATGTTTCACTCGAGCTTCTCCAACTCTTTTTTATGTTTTTTCAAAGTTGCAGCAACCTGATGATATCCACGACTCAGTCCGCGTAAACTCGCGTCGAGGATGCCTGCTGCTTCGCTGCTGAGAGGAACCGCTGGGATCATTTATAGTGCAGTTACCCGGGCCACGCCCCCTTCCGCTGCCAGCCAATCGGCTTACAGCCTAGGTGCCGGCCTTGGCAGCGCTCACTCCTGCTAGTTTCCCCCTTCATCCTTTCCCGGCGCTGTGCTGCACCTGCTTTTGTCTTTTACAAACACAAAGAAAAAGCCGCACACTACGGCAAAAAGCGCGGAACCATGTGGCAGACATGGTTCTGTAACGAGGAAGTAAAGGATTCAGCTTCTTTCCTAAAACACCTAACCCAGAGCTTAAAAGAGTGCTTATTTTACTCTCGTTTGACTTTGGAATCGTGAGGTAGCAGCTATAGCCAGAGCAGATAGCAAAAGTTAAAGAGTTGCTAATGATTAAACTCTCAATGCTCATGAAAAAAAGGGGCCGCTGAAAGAGCAGCTAAGCTCACATACACAAACTCTGGAGCCTTACATGGTCATGATAAGCTCCTGATTTCCATGTTTATCATGTAGTCGACATAAAACAGTCACTCATCTACAGCACATAGAAAGTGCTTCAGTCTCATGATCACTATAAACTTTTTTACATCTCAAAAGGCTGGAATAGCCCCTAATAATATTACCATATATAGTCTTTGACTCTTTTGAGCCAGATGCCATGACTCCAATAGCTTTACATGGTTGGGCATTCTGTTAACAGACTGGTTAAGCCGTATTTTTTGATAGTATACTGAGAAATTAATGGGGCAAGTGTAAAAATGTCTTGCCAGATGTTGCATTCTCTATGTACTGCTAATAACAGACCCAGTGAAGCCTTCAGCTGTAAGTGCTGAAAGCAACAGGTCAGGCCTCATACAATAAGTTTAAATTGCCATTTTGCCTTGGAGTTCCAGTTAATCGCTTTATTTGACTTGGACTTTCTGTTCAGCTAATCAAAAGAGTTTGGTGCAGCGGGTGAACTGTTGAGGAACCAGGACCCAGAGAAGTGTCACAAGCATCACGTCATGAAAGTCGAGGTGAGCCGATGAACTGTTGCAGCAGCACATCTTCCCGCCCTCAGTGCCTTGGAGTTCCAATGCTAAGTACCAAGGGTCAGGCTGACAGTGAGGTGATACTCTAATGACCTCAATAAAAAAGGTATTTAATTCACACCTTCTCCCCTATGAACTGCTTCACTTTTCTCGCATGCCCTTTGTAGCTCGTCTTGCTACCTCATTCATATCCTCTTGATAAATCCCTCCCTTTTCCTGCTTTGTGCCTCAGTCAAAAACCCCAGTGTTTAACTTTGATATCATTTGTCCTGCTTAAGCTCCCTGGCCTTTTCTATAAGTAACAGCTGGAATTAAAACCATACAGGGCAAAATGCTCCACCTGCTGGTTAGCTTGGATTAACATAGGCAGAGAGGAGGAGACACTGTGAGCCAGATGTTCAGTTTATCTTAACTTTATGATTATTCCCAACACCTACAGAGAAATAAACAGCTGAAGTATTAGAGACAGTGGTGATGTTTGAAGGTGATGTTTTTAGATGCAGGGTACAGTTCCCCAAACTCTCAACAACCGAGACAGCAAAATAGCTGGGCTCTCCCTCAGGCTGGAATAAACATGTTCAAATCTAAGTGTTTACACATATTTATTTATACAGTTTCCGAGTTTCATTAATGAAGCTAAACCATGGGTAACAGCAAATCGCAAGAAAATGAAGAGCTGTAAAAAATAAAAAGCTGGACATATTAAAAAAAAAAAAATTAACCATAACATCCAGATGAATGCCAAATAAAGCCCTCTCCCTCTAAGACCAACTGTCATGCAGCTGTCATCAATGCCAGGATGGGTAGGCCCTTCTGATTGGTCCATGCACAGTACACAGCCCAACGGCATTGGTCCAGGTGTTTGTCGTAAGGAAGGAGTCTTTCTCGAGCGTATACACACTAAAGCAGCAGGTCGTCTGAATTTCTCCACAAAAGATGTGACTTGGCACGATGAATCTGGAGACAGGAGGGAGCAGTCAGTGACAGGGAACATTCTGAGGTTTCTTTTCGTCTTTTTTTGTTTATTTCTGAAAATTTGCTCCTTTTTGCACATAACAGTCAAGAAATACATCACCATACAGCAGAGAAATGCATCACTACAGGCATAAATCAACATTTACAATTCATAGTTAATGTAAACATTTGATGAATCCATTTATAAAAATACATTTTCACTGCCCATAATTTAATAAATCTCTCAATAATTTAATAAATTAATGAAATCTGTCTTTAAATACATTTTTTTGTGCTGAGAATTACACTGCAAAGTCTAAAGACTTTCAAACTCAGTGCTCTAAAGTAGCCAGCAGGCCTCATCCTGTGCTTTTTTGATTGTACAGGTGCAAAAGCTGCTTCAATACATCATCACAGCAGAAACCACGCAAACTTTCAGCAAAACTTATGGTCTGTACAAGCTACTTAAAGCAGTACATGACGATGCTGAGATCTGAATCGTATCAGTATCCTTACTTCACACATCCATGCATGCCCTTGAAAGGCCCCTGTGGGAGTCTGAGGAAACAGGGCAGCCGTGTCCAGTGACCACGGTCTCCAGGTTTATAGACATTAACTGCCCTTCTCTCACCATTTCTTGTTCCGAGGCTTCAGCTCCTCAGCGGCGTTCCTCAGGAAGATGTAGTTCTTTTTCTGGGGGTTGTAGTACTCATGGCCCTGAATGATGACAAGTAGAAGTCAGAGTGAAAAGGCAAGCTTTGCTAACTCGAGTACTGATCCAACAACTGTAATGATTTATTAGCGCCTACCTTTGACCAGTCGTAACTGGAAGCATACGCAAAGATGTTGCCATTATGGTTGAAGCAGCAAGCTGTGATGGGCTGGTCGAGCTGCTCTGAGGTCTTCAACTTTGTGCGGGCATCTTTGTCCCAGAAGCTGAAGCGTCCGTCTGAGCCCACGGTAGCCAGAGTGCCATGGACAGGATGGAAGGCGATGGCATTCACCTGGTGGGAGAAAACAAAATAGGAAGAACAATTATACACAAATAACAATGAAAGAGATTCATTTAACAGATATTAGAACCCCCCCCCAAAAAAAACCCCAAAACAAAACAAAAAAAACAAGAGAAAATTGTGCCATTATTCAACAGATAATTAGGCAATTATATAATAATGGCTGTATTTAAAAGCTCAAAGCATGGAGATATCAGTCATAGCCACATTAAGACTAAAGAAATCATTAAATAAAACACTAACTATTGCAGATAATGAAATGTAATATTTTAAATTACACTGCAGTTCTTTCATCATCATTTTTAAACCTTACTTATTAAGATCATTAGGAAAGGGAGGACTGTGCAAGGATTTTAGTTGTACTATATGAAGACAGATTGTAGTGTATCTTTTAAATTTTGTATTGATCTCACTCCTGCTGTTGAACTTATAATAAATTGAATAAATTCACCTATTTACTAGCATGTTGTAATTACAAAGTTTAACTCTGTGAAATGCAAACAAATTCCAAATTTTAATCTCACATTTAATCTAACAAGAATAATGTTTACAATAAATCAGAGCTTCATTTAACACTGAAGCGCTTTACTAAAGTCCACAAACTAGGATAGTCTCATCAAATCATATCTCCTTTAAGAGCAAACAGACTCAAACTCACAAAATATATTTATCTACAATGCCGGCACTGGCCCAGAATTAAGACCAACTTACTGCATAGATGTCCTGTGGAGTGGTTGTGTTGGTTCCATTGGACCTGTGGCACTTGAAGGTGAAGTTATCTTTGGCTCTGAAACGAATGAACAGTGATTCATATTTCAGTTTCAATTATAGAACCAGAACAATAATTTTATAAAGAAAAGAAAGAAAGAAAAAAGGTGCACACTTGAATTCGAGCAGTGGATTGTATTAGTCACTCACGGGTTTGGAGGATTGATATAGTGGATTGCCACTCGGCCCTCAATGCTTCCCAGTGCAAAACCCGTAGGCTTGTTCTGCTTGTCCTTGAATATGGCCACACAGCGGTGCTGCAAGGATGTCACGTTGGTTAAAGAGTAGTAATGCCAATATCTTGACATGCATGTAGCACCGATTAAAAATGAATCTTAGCAGTGTACAAAATTACAAAAGTGAGAGGCATAAGGTATACACATATTTGGAAAAGACAAAAATCACCTGATGTTTGAGAGGAGATTCTATTCGGCGAAACTCAGAGGGCTGGTTCTCTAGTTGATACACTATCAGGCCTCTCTCAGCTGTGGCAACCACTGCCATGGGGTACACCTACACAGGGCACATTAAACATAAAAAAGTCAATCAATAATCAGTCTATTCTGTGAGCATCAGAATTTGTCATACTCATAAACCACTTACAACATCTGCGCAGTAGCATCTCTCAGGCATTTGCAGTGACATCATAGGATTGGGAGATCGAGTATCCCAGAACTAAAGAGACAAATAGAAAAAGCTCTCATTTTTCTAAGTGTTGTTTATAATTAATCATTTTCTCAAACAACATTTAACATCTGTGTCTTTGAATAAATTTCACCAAATTCAATTATTTGGAATCACTCCACAGGTGTGTATATGCTTAATGAGACATATGGTTGGTCACTTCAGGGTGACCCCCAAAAGCTAAATTGAGCCAGCCAGGATAAAAACAGAAACATTTAAACTCTGTTTACACCCAATATCCCATAAAATTTGCATTAGCTCAAAGCGGCCGGTTTTAATGAAAGGTGGATTCTGACAGACAAATATAACCAAGTGGTCTTCTAGGCTTTATCTCAGTAATGTTAAATGACTGAACTGGATGACCACACACTGTTTGTGGAATCTTATCTTATTTAAATGATGGCTTATGACGCAATTAACTACAGACACTTGTATTTTGATTAGGGGAATTCTATTATTTTGTTTGTATATAACTACTTGGCATGTTTGTGTATTACTGTGATGGATGCTGCTTTTACCTTCAGTGTTTTATCCCAACTGCCAGTCATGATACAGCTGTAGTTTGGGGCCTTGATCCAGTGGATTGCTTTAATTGGGCCATCGTGCTATGGAGAGAAATAATGAGAACTGTAACATGATTCTGCTTCATTCATGTCCACACAGTTGTTCTGGGCTTCTGTTCCAACCTGTGCGATCTGGATGGCTTGGTTGCTGTTGAGATCCCACATCTTGGCTGTCTTGTCACAGGAAGCTGTGAAGACTTTGCTTCCATCCTGGACAGAAAAAGAAGAAACGCAGATCATAAATTACTCTACAACCAGACAGCATCTACTGCAAAGATTACATTTTAGACATTAAACCTACATCACTCCAGCAGGCATCCAGCACTGGACCTGTGTGCATCTGTTGGGCCTTGGGAACAGTCTGTCCATTGTCCTGCACCTCCCAACATCGGACCTAAGAGTCAGACGATAAACCACTGTTAAGATTTTCAAAAAGTAAAATATGCACGATGTATATAAAAGTCTCAAAGAGGAAAAAGAAAGAGCAGAAGAGAGCAAATGGGATATACTATGAAGCAGCATTAATGGGTAAGTGTGCTACGTCAAGCTTAAAGTCAGACTTTGTGTCATTAAAAGTGGCTCTCTTTTTACATGGCTAAATCACTGTGATACTTTACGATGAGCACAAACCTTGTTGGGAACAGGTTATGGTTCAGCATTCTTGTTTCAAATCTGCTTGAAGTACTTTGTTCTCACCAATGCTTTTATTTACAGCCATTTTTAATTGTTATATAGACACTCTGCTGGTTGAATACATTTTATACGTGCGAGCTATTAAACAATGAAGCCCTGCTGTAAAGTTACAGCAGTGCAAACTGTGCATCACATTGCTGCTGGAATGTGAAAGACAAAGTGACAATAGACCCTGTACACGAGAAAATGCTAACTTCCTGGTTTGAGACCGGATGTGGGGTTGTACATTTCCGGTAGCTTTACTTTGCAGTCAATCGCTACTGCGAAGATGTACTCCAAAATCATGTCCAAAACTCGAAAACGGAAAGATCGCGTTACGTTACAAAGAGCAGAAGGTGGGAACACTCACCACTGTTGTGTCATAAAAAAATCTAATGATAAATTTTGACGTTTAAAACGTTTAGATCAAGCAGTTGTTTACATCACTCAACACAAGCAGAACTGCATTACTGCAGCAGAAGACACATCGTCCACATTCAGAAGCACATCTCTGTATAGTGACTGGTCTTGTGATTTAAACAGGCAAATGTTCAGCATTCAAACTACAGGTGAAGAATAGTCAAACCCGATGTTTCCCTGTTTTTTTGGGGTTCGGTTGTTCAGTTCCCCCCTTCCCCGGCTTTTTACCAACCGTTGAAAAAGGCCCCCCAAAAATTAATGATTGCTGGTAACGGTTTCTATACATTAGTATTTACGAAGGGTATGTTGTGACTTACCTTCAAAATTACAGTGGTCCCTCGCTATAACGCGGTTCACCTTTCACCTTGCTGTGTCATGGATTTTTTTAGTGCAAGTTTGCATGCTTATTTTTATTTATTTTTTTAACGTCACATTGTGTCCTGCGTCCTGATCGCTGCAGACGATCTCCTCCGTGACGTCTCTACTGTACAGTACAGAATCGCTGCATCGATCGCTGGCAGTGTGACTCTGAAGTGCAGTACTGTATGTCCACGATGTCCACCAAACGTTTTGCACCGTCAAAAAATAAAATTGGCTACTTGATTTCACCTATCGCTGGTTATTTTTAGAACATAACACCCGCAATAAACGAGGGACAGCTGAGAAATATAACATTTGAATCCCTTTTCTGTTTTGCTCTGAGGCGCGGGGGAAAAATATCGACAAGTCGATGAATATCATTTACAGATATATTGGGTAAATGCCCAAGACATCTATAGAAATGTAAATCGCCGCTTGATTCATTCATTTGCTTAACTTGTTTTGGACCGTAAACAAGGCGCGAATAGGACACTGGAAACAAAGCTCCCCACAGGAGTTTCCACACCGGAAGTAGCATATGCTAACATGCACATAGTCTATTCTAATCTGCTGCTTTACTCTTACACTGCTGGAACTGCAGCTACAAGGACACAGAACACACTCAAAAGATACAGGTTTAATCAATAAAAAAAATAACATCTCTCTTATTAGGTTACAGGACAGAAACCTTTCGCGTCTAAATCTACCCAGTTTAGATTTTCAGAGCTCTGATGTTTGGCCATCACATTAGAAATAACTGCAGAAGTGAGTTTTAAAATAAGCACAACGCTGAGCTTAACAGAGACAGTTGGTAACTACCATCATTATACCCATTATTTAGGCTTTTTTCAGGCCAGTATAAACAAATATTGAAGTGTGTATATTAGGCATAGTGCCTTTATTGAACAATGTTGAATTTCACATCCTGCTCATACATTATGCGTCACTCTTTTTAAAATAGGCTAATTACACATTATATAAGGACTAAGCAACATGATTTAGCAATTAGTATTAATAAATCTATAGTAATAATCTTTCATTTACTCACTCCACCATAGGCAATAAATACGAGTGAATAAATTACTCACATCATTAGCCCAGGATCCTCCAATGAGGAAGTTTCCAGGCATGGTGGGTGGGCTGAAAGCCAGGCAGCTGATGCTGTCATCTGGAGGTGAAGTCACTTCGACATCCTATAAGGCAAGACAAAAAAAACAAGAAGTATGAGGAGGACCAGTGACAAAATGAGGATAGAGTTTTAAACGACTCCTTTTAACATTTAACAAAGTTTATGTCATACAACATATTGACAACACTATTGGGCCACCTATACATTTTAGCTACAGCAGCTTTGATGAGATCCCATTCATTAACATGGAGTTGGTTCCCCCTAGGCAGCTGTAACACATTCTATTTTTCTGTGAAGGCTTTCAACAAAATTTGGAGTGCAACTGCAGCTTTTGCCCATTCATCCAGAAGAACATTTGTGAGTTTAAACATTGATGTTGGGTGAGAGGGACTGGGTTGTTAATCCAAAAGATGTTAGCTCGACAGCTATGGAAACCATACTGTGAAGTTCCTGATGCACAGTTTTTGTGTTGATGTTAATGTCAGAAGACATCTGCAGTAAGTGGGTCAGCAAATCATTGGCTACTTTTACCCACTGTAGTAATAATAATAATAATAATAATAATAATAATAATAATAATGGATTGCATTTATATAGCGCTTTTCGGGGCCCTCAAAGCGCCGTACAATTCCACTATTCACTCACTCTCACATTCACACACTGGTGGAGGCAAGCCACAAGCGTGTAATATCTTAGAAGTCAATGAACTCCTTGCAAGTCAGTACTTGAATTCAGTGAGTATTTTACAACAACTCAGTCTTTCAAAAATGTTTGTAATGGCTAGCTGTTAGATTTTATATCTATGGAATGGCACTAAACCCCTCAATTCAAAGATTAAGAGGTGTGGTCCAATACTTTTGGACATATAGTGCATGTTGTGCTCTTGTAGGCCGCTTTACCTTCATGGGATTGTGGCTGTCTGTAGTCGTGCTTCCAAACACCCCGGTCCCTCCAGTCCCAAACCCCGAGCTTGTTCCAAACAAACTCATAGTGCACTAACGTCAGCCACCCCTGAGAGAACAAAGAAAGACAGTGATTTTATATGAAACAACACGTTAACTGCCAAAAGTTGTCAGTGCATCAAACAATACCATGAACCACTGAGCAGGTGATGAAAACAAGTGAATACTGCATGTGTGAAACACCGGATAGCACACATTACGACATCCATTCAAGTACAATAAATTAGTTTTTCTTACAAGCGATATATAACTGCACTCAAGTTATCGTTGTTATTATTATTATTATTATTATTGAGGATATAACTAAGTCACACATCTGGATAACCAAAACTTAGCATGACAGCTAAAGGAAATGCTAGCTACATCACTTGCCACTGCTAACTAAATCACGCTACCAGGCTCGTTAATAAAAGGATAAATGGTCATTTAACTTCGATTGATATTTAAAATAGGGCTCAACCTATAAGCCACTATTATGACACCTTTCTGTGTGTGAAAATAAATACGTTTGGAAAAAAACGAGCTCGCTAACATTAGCTAAGCAACTCTCGACAAACCACTGTGCCTCCCAGGTTGGAAAAAAAAACAAACAAATTTTCATGTTTGGTGGCAATTTTAAACAACCATAATTAAACATTTGACTGTCACTGAAGCCTTCTCATACCTACAGGGATATACATACCACTAATTTCCTTCTACTCTAGATGTAATGTCGCAACGCTGAAAACGCTAGAAGTGTGGCGCTTGTTCCTTTGAGTGCATAGTCGCAGGTTGATGACGCTTTGGCTTCAGCGCTCAAGAAAATGCAAACCGAAAGGTAAACGCTGTGTGGCAGCAAAGCAACAGGCTGCATGCAAGCATACTGTATGTCTATGGGCAGCCCACTTGAGTTAAGGTGCCCTTTCAATTTCAGATTTCTTTTTATATGACACGATTTAGATGAAATACTGTAAGAAAGTGGCAGATGGTTATTAAGCTAAGGGAAATCATAAGTAAAGTACTATGTATATAGCCTGCAGCCTAGGAAGTAAGATTTTTTAAACGTAAAATGAAAGGTTACCTCACTCAAATAAATGTAACAAATATTTAGTTTGGAAATATGAGGAATAGAAAAAGTTATATCAATACTTTTGGGAGTAAAGGTTTGGTTTAGTAAATGTGCCCACTTTCGAGCAACTGAAATTAAATGTAACCTATGAAAAAGGGGGAAAAATCAGAAGAAAATTATGTGGCAATAAAATTTGCTTCAGTCTCCCTTTCACTGGGCTGTGGGCTATATTTCTGTAGCTTTGAAAAAAGGCAATTGTACAATAAGAGCGAATTAAAAATCAGGTTAATCAATAACTAGGTTTGGTAAATTAAATAAGGAACAATTATGTCAAATTATGAACCTTGTAATTATAAGACACTAAATATTCAGTGGAGCTGGATGTATAGCTCCAATGGGAAAAATGGCTTAAATTAAGAAACATGTTTGTTAATTCAACAATTTTCAAAGTTAACCTAAAGGCTTAAACACTAGGCTTTTAAGATTTAAACTGTTTGTAGTTGATTTGGAGGCCTCTTGAGTTTATGTGAGTTTACAGAGATCGTGAGTCATGTACAGTGCTCTCTGCATAGGAAAACCCATCTCAAGCACACATCTGGTGTCTGCTATGCAGCGCCAAATTCATTGTTAGTTAGGTGTTTTGTTTTGTTTTGTTTTGTTTGAATATATTAATTTAAGCAATGATCCAGTGACTCTCCCTCTCTTCTTTAATACAAATTGTGCAGAGAGGCTATAATTTGTACTTTGCCTAATAGATCACCTTGACCTGTCCGTGGTTTTAATGTTTAGACTCATTGAAACCCGAGTAAATAATCTGTACTTCAGGATTGAATTGTTTTTCTAATTCAGAAATAAGAAGGAATAAATAAACAGGTGAACACGCAAAATAATAAATTCAAGCAATTAAATAATGTAATGATTTTATTGAGTTAGCTCTATTTGAGACTTAATGTAATGGTATTGATTACAAAGTGGGGGATTTTGCCAACTTTCCTCTTGGCTTTTGTCGCTTTTATTGAATTAACGTCCCAGTTTTTGCTCCTTGCGTTAAATATGCAGCTCTAGATCTCTCTTTGTTTGTGATTAGTCAGCTGACGCCAAACCGCTCTTTATGTAAACGCGGTTGATGCGGAACACCTGGGCTGATAACTACCGCCCTTATCGTGGTTGTTAGGTTTAGTTAAGTCATATAAGTACAACGGAGTCGGTGACTGCTGCACTTGCTTCGTAGTACGGATCGCTAATGTGCAAAAGTGCAAACGTGTAAAATTAGTTTAGTTTGCACATCAGTGAGCATGACATGGCATTGAAGTACTAAGACTATGACCACAGAAAGAGGTCACAAAGACTGACTGTCAGGTAAGAAGGGATTACCACCAATGCAATGCTCTGATTGGACCCTGCATTCATAAACACAGGACGCTCTGTAGGTACCCCACACCCATCCGTGTGATTAACACAGAGCACTTCACTGTAGAATACAGCAGCCCCTCACCCCCGTTTTCTTATTCTGAACTGCTCCTGCCCCTCCCCAGACACACCGACCTTAGTAAGATCCATCCCCAAGTTGCCATTAAGACGAGCGCACAGCTGTGGCACACCGAAGACCCACGCGCAACGGCAGATCATCAATGAATGATATTCGGTGTAGATAGGTGGCAGTGTGTTTGGTGTCAACCACACGCAGGCGGTATCTTTATGACGAAACAGCATCTCCAGTTTTATCTTTCGACTAATTCGAAGCGCGCGTAAAAACTGAGCTAAAATAATGTTGACAAGCGCCTTGGCAAAGATATCGTTCCTCCTGTCGTGGGGTTACTTAGTGCTGGCCACGCGGGTCGCGTTCTCCAACTTCTCCGTGGACAATGAAGTGCGCTCCAGCTTTATCCAGCGGCGACTGAGGGGCCAGGAGCGCAGAGAGATGCAGCGGGAGATCCTCTCCATCCTGGGGCTGCCGCAGCGTCCGCGTCCGCACGTGCACACCAAAAGCAATGCCGCCCCAATGTTCATGCTGGACCTCTATAACACTATTAGTATAGACCCAGAACAGCACAGGTATTCAAACTACGAGACCGTTTTACCAACGCAGACCTCCCCACTGGTGACCCCACAGGACAGCCGATTCCTAGAAGAAGCAGACACGGTGATGAGCTTTGTAAACCTCAGTGAGTAGAGCATGTGCGACTTTTGAAGTCAGGAAGTGTGTTTACTTGGTTGTTAGCGTTGTATCATTTGATTTAACCTGTTTTCTCTAACTCCTCCATGCTTAGATATATATTTAAGTACCCTAAGATTATATCACTTTTATGCACCAAGTCCACGTCGTTCATCCACATCTGAAACTCCTTCATATCCAAATGACTAAGTTACCCAACCAACCTTGTTTATGTGGATGGTTTGATTTAGTCATCTCAGAATTCAGTTTTAGAATGAGCCCTTTCTCTTTTTTAGTTCGTTTCCGGCAGCTGCAATACAACAGACAGCATTAAATGTTTCTGTCTGTCTCTCGTTTTTCTTTTATAATCTGTTGTTTCTGACTCTTACTTTTGGTGACTTTCTTTAGTTGAAATCAAGCATTATGCATTCCAAGCTATAAATGTTATGACAACATGTATGTATCTGGTTTCCCCAGAACCCCTTCAAAGCTCTCAGGGAGAGGCTTTAGCATTGCTTAGTTTCACATGACTAGAAATTGAACAGGCATTTCTCAAGTTCAAGGGAGTGAGAGATGAGTCGATGAAGATCGAGATATAAACTGCATCTAAGCATGGTTATTGGTTTAGTAATCTTCCAGGTGCCTGTGCGTGCATTCTTCCGTGCTTGCTTGAAGGGCAGTGGGGGCTTGGGTTTATTCAGACATTACTGAATTTATAAAAGGCAAATCCTGCTTTGTTTTCCATGGAGATCGTGTGGAAGCTCCAATATTACTATGGGAAATCAGCAGACCACATGCTGTTTGAGTGTGTGGTTACATCCCAAACCAGCTCTGATCTTTGGGCTTGCACAGTGTTATTTAGGTCAATGTGCAGAGAGTGGGGTTTGGTCACCTGAAATATGTCTCCAAGAAATCATTAACCTCCCTTTCTGAATGGTTGTCAGTGGCATCGAACTGAAGCTTTATATAACAGGGCCTATTAGAGTTATTTCTTTTCCAATGAGCACATAAAGATGTAGTTAATACAAAACATTTGGAGACCACAAGAAAATCTCAAACATAACATTTTATGTCCTCAGTCCTGAACTTTTAACTGACAGTCCTTAGCTAATGAGATCTGGAAAGCTGTTTCTGAAAACCAACAGCAGATTTGTGTGGTTTCACATTTGAGAACTTTGATTTTAAAGAGCAGTGAGAGGGGGGGACAGAGAAAGAAACAATGAGTGTGTATTATTTTGCTGTCAGGCTCACCACAGCCTCTTGTGCAGGCTCCCACATCGTGCTAAAGTGACTCTATCTTGGTGGTCTCTCGATGATTGCTTCAAGAGTGAACTGGATTACGGTATTTCCCTTCCAAAGACCGCAGCTTCCAATATGACGGAGAGCTGCTGCAACTAATTTTATCCTTTTATATAAATCCGGCCAATCTAATCAGTGTCTGTAAGTGATGTGAGTCGTGTTAGAGAGATGGGTAAAGATTTATAATGCGATTCACAGGTGCAACATATAAACATTCTTACTGTCACTATAAAAGGCAGCTATCGTGCTCTGCACATTTTCACTGTCTTTATACTGTTCTGCATTTCTCTGCTCCTCATCTCGACTCCTTGTTTACCACTTCTGCAGTCTTTCCCCTGACATGTGTACACACTCATCCAATATGCTTTCTCTTTTTTTCTTTCTTTTTTGCATTGACCACAGCACACCTGCAGAGCATGAGAACAGGCTTTTTTTTTTGCACAGAAATGTCACCATGTTTAGATAAGATGCAAGAAACTCTTGTAGCGGGAGGAACGACTGAAGAACAGATGGATTATTGTGTTTTTCGAGAACAAGCAGGAAGACATGTGCTTGTCCTGCTAAGCTGATTGAACAAAAAAACAAAATTCCATTAAGATAATTTTTTTCCACTCTGAAATGTATTACTGCCTTGTGTGTATGTGTGTGTGGCTTCTCTTTTACGTGTTAAAGCAGATTTATGAAAAGGCTTTCTCTTCTTTGTCTTTGATAGTTCTCTTTCAGGGTTGTTAAACATAAAGGTCATGGATTCATGGATCTTGACGGAAATTAAGTGTTTCATTTGTCATCACCTTTTATTTAAACTAAAGATAAAATGTTTCTGAAATTAATAGACTAACTTGCATATCCTGTTTGTTTGTTTTTTTTAGTGCAGATTTGTGATCCATCTTTAAACTCCCATGCTGTGAAGAAGACACTTACTACAAAAATTGCAATAGGTTAATAGTGGCTCTGCAGCTATGTGGCCCTTTAGCGTTAGGGGTAATCCAAAGTGTTGAAATGCCTCCCAGAGGGAAGTTTGCATATCTGAGGTCTGATCTCTGCAGCTAATGGTCCCTAACGTAAACACACCAAGTCCTTACAAGCAATTATTGCTTTCATAAAATCACCCCTCTCTCCCTTCCAGCATTTAATTGCGGTCAAACAAATGACTAGCAGGGTTCAGAATGCACTGCTCTTAACGATGAGCGGCTTGTGCGTGTGTTTCTGCGCTAAGTGTTTGTAGACGTCTGTGAGTCAAAGCATGTGTGAGAGAGCTCTGCAGTGCCATGAAAAAAAAAAAAGAAGTTTCTAGCAATCGAGATCTTGTAAGGATGGATTTTTTTGTTTTGTTTTGTTTTTAAACAATAGTGTGCTCCATCAGTTGGAGTACAGAATGATGTCATTGCTGGTGATGTAGTGTGTACCAGTGAGCAGGATGCGTTTAACATGGCTAATCGCTGCTCCCCTCTGCTGCACACCTTCAGCAGAGACCCTGGCTGCTCTGCTGTTTCCAAGGACAAGCATGTTGACTAATGCTGTAAAAACATGACACTGGCAAGCTCCAGGAAGCTTCGGGGTCTTTCTAACCACTATTCATTTTTTTTTTTTTTTTTTTTCCTGGAAACTCTGAGTGTTGGAGAGCTTCAGCCGGCTCAGGACTGGGCGGAAACCTCGCAGTGTCACCAGCTACTGCTGCTCCACTTTCTCCTACAGTCAGGCTGAACTCACCGGATGGCGACGTATTGCAAAACGATCAGGGGGCTGTAATGGGCACAGACACTGGGTGTAATGGCACATGTGAATTTGTGTGCCTCTCTATGCTTTATGTGAGCGTGTTTGTAAAAGTACACTAGCTGCTGTGGTTTTCCGGGCTGCGCCTTAACTGGGCTTTTCTTGTGGTCAGCACATGTGTGCAATTTAAACAGGGAGCCAAACTGAGCCATGAGTATTTTTTTCTTCCTTTCCTTCACATTGGCCTGTATGGCAAACTTGGCTAAAGTGATGTTTAGATCAGTCATTTTACTCATGGCAGCAGGATTTTTCCTATTTCAACCCGAGTGCTTCCGAGCTGCGGGCAGAGCAACACACATCAGAGAACTGACTGAATGTTTTGAGAGACCACAGTTGCTTTACCATCTGATTGCACTAAGTGGTTTGCCTTAGTGCCTTTTCAGTGTCTGTGCAAACTTTCTTTTTGAAGGTCAAAAGGGTTTTTTTTTTTCACCTTGTGTGTTTGTGTTTGTGTGTGTGTGTGTGTGCCTCTGGGAGAAAACAATAAACCGTTTATTATGGCGATGTTGTAACCAGATGGTCTATAAGGGGGATAATCCTTTTTAAAGCACATCAAAGCCACCACCTGCTCTTCAGGTTTGTCTGTCTGTTGTTGTCTTGTAGTTGGTCAGGATCAAGATCTTCTCCTCCAGCGCCATGCTACAGAGTTTCGCTTTGACCTTTCACGTATTCCAGAGGGAGAGGCCATCACAGCAGCAGAGTTCAGGATTTACAAGGATCTCATCCAGGAGCACAGTGAGAACAAAACATTCAGAGTGAGTCTCTACCAGGTGCTGCAGGATCCTCCAAATGGGTAAAGAGAGTTTCTTATTTGCTCCTTTCTGTTCTTAATTGATATTATCATATATGTCAACCCTTCTTTTTTTGAATTCATGATTTCTCTGATCATTGAGCTCGACTCCATGGTTTGAGTCCTCTTGCTGAATTTCAACAGGCTAAACACTTGTTTTTCTTAGAAAATGGGTTGTTGGGCTACGTTTCCCCACAGCTTATTTGTGCTGATGTTCGTGTCAGTACTGCCACTGTTGACACAGAAATTAGTGTAAATTACGGAAATACACTGGTTCTCTCAGAGTGGTTTACTCTCACGCTGTCTGAGAAAATCAGCTCCCAGGAGACCGGTGTTTATATCACACAGCTGAAGCTACAAAATGACACCAAACCATCAACACGTCAGTTTTTCTATTACACAGTTATCTCTCCATCATACCTCCGGGTTTTCTCGGCCAGTGTCTGATATGTTTTTAACTTTCTTTTTATTTTCCTTGTTGAAAGCCGCAGGTGAATTTACACACCAACTTCCCTCTAACCTCAGGGAAAAGTCTGTTTTGTTTTGTGTTGCATTGTTAACACAGATGTTTTGAAACTAACCAGCGAGCTAGACCTGAAATAATAATTTGATCAATAAATTAGCAGTTTCAACATTTTTATTTCGATGACTTAATCATTTGGATATTTTTTTCCAAGCAAAAATGACATAAAATCCCCCAGAATAAGCTTTTCACATGTGGATAAAAACTAAAACTCACTACAACATTAAGATTTCCTCTGATACATTGATGTAACTGCATACTTTTCCTGTGTATTGTATTAATTTTTATTAACTTGTGGTAACTGGCAATTCCTAGAGTTGGTCATCTTTTTTAAAAACTTTATTTACATGTACATCAGGCTTTCTCACTGTCTGAGGCCTCATTGGATCTTTTTAAGGTCGTTATTTCTTTGGCTTTGAGAACTCAAAACTTTACAATAACAACCATTAAATCACATTTATTATTTAGGCTGCTAATGAGAATACTGGTATTGTGTCAAAACATTAATTTGCAAAGCAATAAGAAATTATAGATACCAGTGTAATATAAAATAATGTGGTGTATGTCATAAGATGCCTGATTTACTGATTCTTTTACATTTACATTACATTTTTATACCTTCAATGCCAAATTAATGTTTTGAATCTGAAAATATTTCCATTAATATTCTTCATATTTGTTGCTTTTGAGAAGGTGCTCAAATTTTAGTTTCACAATTTTAAATAAAATCAGACTTTTGGAACCATCGAAAATCCACAGATTTTAAGACCCTTATGATGGAAACTTTTAGAAATTCTGCTGACACAATTTAAGATTTAATAAAGGGGGGAAAAACCCTCCAGGTTTGTATTTCAGTCCAAAGAGAAACTCATGGAAATGATCACAGGCGCAAACAACACCTACATTTTGTTTCTTGACTGACCCCCAAAAAAGAAGCCAAAACTGTAAAAGTCAGTCTCTCAAACAATTTCTTTCTGAGATTTGTGGAGCTAAAACTTAATTTTGAGTCTTCATAATTAAAACTAATTAATAAAAACGAATTAAAACTAAAGATAAAGATTCATAACAAATACAGCTTTTCTGTAAAGAAAACGTGTAGAGACATGACAAACATCCAACTGCAGAGGACCAGTCATTAGAAAAATGATTACGACAGGATTTACAAAGAAACTCGTGCTAGGTTTTTATATTTGCTCAGAAGCTTGTAAGATGGCTGATAACACACAGCACCACCCCGTAGGTGTATTTCACTGGTCCTATTGTATCAGCTGAATTAAAGCTGGTCAGCAATGATTTAAAATCATGGGTTTGGATAAAAAGGGGTCATGTGCCAGCCAGTAGGTGTAGATTAAAGTGTTTTATCTGTGAGAGTGGGGCTGCCGGCAGCACCATTGTCATTCAGACACACAAAAGCCACTCCACACAGACGAGCAGGCAGCAGGACAAAAGACAGACGTCTGAAACTCAGACTATAAACAAAGCAATTCTCTGTTGAGATCTGCCCCTAAGCGGACACACATCAGCGTTAAAGTGCTGCTTTGATAACATTCAAAGTGGGAGGACTGCATGATTTAGAGGGGTAGCTGTCAGGGAATTTAACTGAGGTGATGCTTTTACATTTTAAATTAGAACCGTTTCATTCGCTTCCACTTTGCATTTATTTCCTGAAAATGTCAGCATCATATAAAATGCTGTGCTGTTAAGGGAGTGATAAAACCACACACACACACACACACACACACACACACACACACACACACACACACACACACACTGCTGCAATGAATTTTTCCCTTCAGCTTGGACTTCAGCAAATGAAATGTGTCCACTTAGATTAAACTCGAGTCTCTAACCATTGACTGGTACAGTTTCTCTGATCCGTCTCCATCGTGGGTTTACCCTCAAACACATTGCTGAAGCTTAGCACTTTAACCTCACTGTAACTGGTGAACTTCAGCTCCACTGTACTGGTATAGTGAGCTTAAACAAAACAAAAACATAACAAGTGGTCCAGTACTTCTGCACTCTAAGTCGTACAGGATCTCACATATGCTTTTGACATTTGTGGTGTATTAAATACTGAAAGCCAAACATTTTCCCAAGCATACCACATTCCTTTAGATGTGTTTGTATTTTCAAGAACGTCCACGGGTTCCATAAATTTCACCGAGGAATGAAATCCATTTGCAGTGAAAAACAACCCATCGTGGTGGGGTTTCACTGCATTTTAATTTGTGTTCTGTGGAAAAGTCGATCGACTGAGTCCGCCCGGGAAAGATTTTACTTTGCACTTGGAGCTTTTCTGCACTGAAATCCCTCGAGTGTGTTTACATTTCATTCTGTCCTCAGTGACTTGGAGCTGTTCCTGCTGGACCGGCGAGAAGTTCTGGTTTCAGAAGAGGGATGGTTGGTCTTTGACCTGACCACCACGAGTAACCTGTGGCTGGTCAACCCTGAGCATAATCTTGGCTTGCACTTGGTTCTTGAGGACAGTCATGGTCAGTGATTATCCAAAATTGATTCTACAAAACTGAAAAATGGAGTGTGATCCATGGTAGTAATATTAAATAAATCAATAAATAATTGATTTCTGCAGGTCAGAAGAGAAACCCCCAGTTAGCTGGAGTGGTAGTGGGCGGTGGGCCTCAGGACAAGCAGCCATTCCTGGTTGTCTTCTTCAAAACCAATGAGGTGCGACTCCGCAGCGTTCGTTCAGCCAATGGCCAAAAGGGGCGCCAGTCAAGCCGCTCTAAACCCCAGAGGACTGTTCAAGATGCACTGAGGGCAGTGGAAGCTGCAACAGGTTACTGAACCCCTAAACCCTCTTTTCCCAGATGAAGACGACCTCCCTTGTACCCTTAATGATGAGTTTTGACGCCTCAATGTCAATAAAGACGTGATTTGACATTTTTCCAGGGGCAGCAGTAATAAGCTGTATAGGCAGAGCTCACCCTGACTAACATCTGATACACACTCAGTCATTTTGTTCTGAAAACAGGCCTGAAATATAACAGAAACCACTCAGTTCAAAAAAGGAATGCAAAGGTTACTCCTCGTAGGCGTCTAAAGAGTTAAAATGTCACTCATGAGCGGAGTCATTTCAGGAGCTTTAAGAACTTGTTGTGTCAACTGATATTTGCTTTTGTTTTCAGCCAATATCGGCATCTCTAAAGAAGGATGTAAAAAGCACGAGCTGTATGTCAGCTTCAAGGATTTGGGATGGCAGGTAAAAATTAAAATTTATCAACAATTTTTTGAAAGCATTTCTTCAAAAGTGACAATTAACAAACACTTAAAAAAACCTCTGACCAGGACTGGATCATAGCACCAGAGGGCTACGCAGCATATTACTGTGAGGGAGAATGTGCTTTTCCTCTGAACTCCTACATGAATGCCACCAATCACGCTATTGTGCAAACTCTGGTAAGCCTCAAACGATCCCTGATTAAAGGCATTTCCTCTGTAGCCTCTGCTCTCCCTGAGGATATATTTTGTATTTCTTCTGTGCCACAGGTGCACTTTATCAACCCAGAGACGGTGCCCAAAGCCTGCTGTGCCCCAACACAGCTCCACGGCATCTCTGTGCTCTATTTTGATGAAAGCTCCAATGTCATCCTCAAGAAGTACCGCAACATGGTGGTCAGAGCCTGTGGCTGTCACTGACTACTCATATTCCCATCTGTGACGCGTACAAATCCAGAGAGATGCTCAAGAAAGGCGGAATCAGAGCGACGATTAACTGACTGGTCACCGGAGAGCTCTTGCCACAGAGCTTTATTCTGGGGGTCTGTTTTTTTTATTTTTTTATATGACCAGCAGCTGAGCCAGCTTTAACCACTACCACAGCCCAAATAGAGCTACTGGTCACAAAAAGGGATTTTATGGATTTTGTTTTCTTTGTAACGGATTTAATTTTTTTATATACCTTTGTGTGAAACTAGAGAGACTGCACCGAAAGGACTTCGAGCAGTGCGCAGAAGTTTCATAAGCTCAGAAGGAACCTGTAAAAAGTACTGGCAGTGGTGTGCGCTATCATACATGCAACAAACATCTCTATTTGAATTCTTTTTAAAATAAGAATAAAGAGTTTTGTCTTTTGTGGTAATTTAATTAAAACAGACTTTACAGCTCATAAAACTGTAAATCTTCCTCTTGAAGCCGCTCACCATCGTTTTTGGATGAACCTGTGTTTAGATGAGAGAAATGAAGGCAGTGAGGTAATGCCAGTGGGATAGATTCATAAACATTGCAGTTGTTCAGAGATTTGCCAAAATATTAAACCCACTCGCAGGTGAAGTAAAAAGCATTTAACTGTGTTTTTATAATGAAATGTTCTGCTGGGAATCGTGTGAACGTGCCACCCACCTGAACATTGTCGCAGGCCTCACTCAGCAGGACAAATCACTCAGGAAAACGCTTAAGCATCACAGCAGATTCCCTAGATCCCAGTCTGGTTGAGCATCAGTGGGCTGACCTGGAACAAGGCTGGTCAATGAAGGCTCTGACTGCCAACCTGTTCAATCCACACGACCTGCTACGAAATCCAACATCACTCCTCCATCTGCTCTATCCACACTTTGTCTGGTGTCAGAGCAGAGCTGCAGCCGGACTGTATATTTTATCCCATTAAGAAAGTTAATTATTTGAAACTCTAACCAAGATTTCCATTTTTTTTTTTCCTCAAACATTTTCTCAGCAGAAGTATTATTCGCATGTTTGGCTTGTAAACGCCTCCTCTGTAAGTACTGAATGGGCTGCACAGTTAACACATGGAATATTTATTTCTTCAGCTTTGCTTCACCTTCACCTACAGCACCTTGTGTCCAATATCTCTGCCATTATTATTATTAACTCTACATTTAAAGATCATCCTATTCACTTAAAATGAACTGTTAGGTGAGCCGTGTACACGCACACTTTCCAGTCTTTTTCATGCCCACTCTTAACAGTGGGACACATTCAAAAAGGAGCATCAGTACAAAAAAGAAAGCACAGCATATACACAATACAATATATCCAGGCATTTAAAAAAAAAAGGCATTTATACCGACATCACCGAGAAGCTTTGTGCCTCTAACGTAGCATATTACACTCACACATCACAGCCCACGCTTTTAAAAGCACAGGTTAGACCTGTTATCGAAGAAATAGAGGTAGAAGCGTAAAATGAAATCCTTCTCATGTAGCGAAAAAAATCACGTTCGTTGTAAATCTGAAATTGTCAAATTGGTTAAAGTATCCAGTTTCCAATTCGGAGTGAAGTTTCCTTTTGTGATCACAAAGAACTCTTACATAATACCAGGCAGGAAAGGGAGAAACTATCATGAGCAGCGAAGACCTGAGGGAGTATTTTTATGTGCTTTTCAAGGAACGTGGGCTGATTTAGTCAGAACTGCTAGAAATAATAATATGAACACTTACATCAGAGCCAAAAACTCAAACACGCTGTCCTTTGAACTAACAGGGTTTCCCTCAAACGTATTGTTACTGAAGCGGTTTTATGTGGCAACGCAAATTTTACACTTTGGTTCTACATTTCAAAAAGAAAACGTGTCACATAGCCTGAGTTCTTGCGTATAAGATCTGAATTATGTGCTGCTGCAGACTTTGTGTAGGCTTACAGCAGATGCAATGTCGAGCTCTGACACGATTCATGTTGTCAGCGTGTGATCCCTGACTAACCTTGACAAATACAGCATGTGTTATCACACCTCCGGGGGATCCTGAGAGTTAATCTTTCCTCTTTAAGCGGTTCCTCCTTAGATACAATCATCATACCGACAGTCAAGCACAGAAATATGATTCAGGAGGTAGAATGACAGTAAATACAGGCTGATTAGAAAAGAGCTGAAAAGCAACCAGCTAGCTCCCTGCAAATGAAACAGCCACTGTTCACTACATGCAATTAGTTCCTGGACCTCTCAGCTCAGGGGCTGAGAAGTGCCTCCTGCGGACCGCCTCTGCGCCCCTCTTCGGCTCCAGTGCTTGTTCCCCTGGCCTTGTGGGAAGCAGTGTGCTCGGGCCAGACTGTGGATGTGTTGCTTTTAGGGGCTCACACCCTTCCTCTTCTAACTTCTCGGGTGAGGTTTTTGGCTCCGATGTGGCTGGCTGTGGAGCCTGGGGAGCTAATACAGGTGTGAGAGCCAGGCAGACATCCCCTACGCTGAGCTGGTGGCAATGCAGGCCGCAGATGCGGGCAGTCCTCTGAGGGCTGCAGGAAGACCAGCCGCGCCCACGCACGAAGAACGGGTACTCCACATACACATCCACCAGCTCCTGCAGGAGGCAGACAGATGCATACAGAGGAAGCTGTGAGACAAGCACGGCTTAGACGTTTGCTCACTAGAGGGTGGTGTTGTTCCATTATGGTGGATCTATTCATAGTTCATGTAACAGCAAGGAGATAGAATTAACAGTACACATGGATTTCAGGTTTTTATGCACATTATCAATGCATACAAAAATTCACTTGTTACACCATCAGATTTAAAAGCAAGAATATACTGATTGAATTTTCTGCAGGTAAGTACACACCTTTTAATTGACCCAATTATAGATTTTTCTTCATCTTGTGCTAAACATTGCAGAACCTAAAGAAAAAATGGCTTTCAGGCATGAGGCAGATCTTACTGGATATCTTCTTTTCTTAACTGCCAACAAACTCAGATCATTTCCCTATTTGCAGCACTCTCCTTTGGCCTTAAAATTACTACTGAAGGCGGCCACAAAAATAGCAACAGACATACAGCTCCATCTTATAAAAAAGCTGCTTTATTTCCCAAAACAGCTGGCTGCTGCAGTGTTTTGCAGAAGACACAGATACAGGAAGTGCAAATGCTCCTGACTATTTTCAGCTTCAGATTAATACAAGCTTTCTATGCTAGTATTTTTCACAGCCTGTAGTATTTTATTGCAAATCCCACAGCGCACTCAAGGTGTTGCTAACAGTTTTCTTGGCGATAATGGAGCGCCATGGCACTGAAGGATAAGCTTGGGATGCACATGCATTACACCTTTAATTCAAGCTATTCATGCATTTGAATTTGCCATTTAAAAATTTCACTAAGTTCAGTTATTATCTTTTATGTACGTGAGTGTGTTTAGGAAGACAGTGATGCATGTAACCAGGTAACACAGGAATGTACTCTAATGTATGTCTGGTGTAAGGATAGCAGCTGTTCTGGATTGTAAATACCATTAGGTCTGAGAATAGCGGCTAAAAAGCATCATAAATACCATAAAAAAATAAAATAATGGTTTAGAGCTTTTGAGCAGAAGTCAATAAATTAATGTTTTTTACACCATCTAACCACGAGATCCAGATGCTCTTTTTGGTGGGAATACTACGTTAAAAGAATAGTAACAATAATGTGTGCTATGAATATTAACACCACAGTGGGAATTTCTTTCACCTGGCTCTGCTGGTCATGAAGCATGATGAGGAGGCGGGAGATTGAGGACGAGGAAGTTGAAGGGGAGATACTCTGCACCGTGCAGCAGCTCAGGCGCAGGTCTGGACAGGCCAGTGAGCCAAGCAGGAAGTCTTCAGTTTGCAGGTGCTCTACCCTCCTCAGCCGCCCATCCCTGAGCTCAATCAGAGAACCGGCCACAAAGTGAGGGAGGAGCCAGGGGAAACTGTTAGGAGAGGCGGTGGAGGAGGAAACATGCTCAGAGGAGGGCCTCGTGGAAGCGTCCTCCTTCGTGAAGCCGCCAGCGCTTTTGGAGTTGTTTGGGGAAACTTGTATGAAGGAATGTCCTGAAATAGAGGCAGCCTTTGTTGATCTGTGCGACAAATCAGGTCGAAGTTTGGGGTTCTCACGGGGAGAGTGAGGTAGGCTTGTGCTCAAAGGTGAAGTACTTGCCCTTTCGACCCTGGGAAAATACTCTGTTTTTCTCTCTCCTCTCCTCATGTATGGACCTTTATGCCTGCTGTAGGTCTGCCTCTCTGCGCTCTTCTCTCTTGAAGTCTTGTGCTTCTCCCAGCTGTACGCTCCACTCGCTCTGTGGAAACCCTCCAGGGAGACAGCGTTGAATCTGGAAGGATAGTACGGATGGCCTGGGTGGAGTGCAGGTGTGCCAGATATGTGGCTTTGGTGCTGATAGTGGTTAGGAAAGTCCCATCCAGGGTGCAAGGGGTTGAACTCTCTCCACTCTGCCCAGCCATGATGCTCCCTGAATGCAGAAAGAATCTGCGGTTTGGACCTGTTAGGTGTGGGTGTCTGCATCCAGGGCTGGTACAGGGCAGTAACCCGTCTCGGCACGGGCTGGAATGGGCCAGTGTGCTTTGTGGTGAGTTCGGTGTGGCTCTTGTAAGGGTATGGCGCCTTAAAGTTTGCAGCATCGCACTGCTGTTGCTGCTGCTGCTGAAGTGGCGAGCTTGGTCTTTGGTCCCTCTTCTTGAGCGGGAGGCTGTCCCTACCCGGGACCAGAGCCGAGTTTGTTGTGAAGCTCATGGGCTCGAGCTGATCGTCACTCACACCTACACTCCCGAAGAACTACAGGTGGCGTTGTGATCATGTGACACGGGCTCCATTAGTCTCTTGGCAACTGTCGCCGATCCAAGGTCGCCACAATCTGAACAGCAGGAGAAACAGTTACTAATGCACTTCATATCCCCACAGACAAGTTGTCAAGCTGGAGAAAATAACTGAATTTGCCTTCGTAGAGTCTCTCTTACTCTGGTGTTTCCCCTGTCTCTGAAAAATTCACAGAACTTTCCCTCTCTCCCCTCCCGCAAAAGTACAACATGGTGAGATCAGTGCCTGTGAATATCCTTCCACATCTGAACAAAAACTCCTCCATCAGCTTCAAATTACAGCTTTCCAACCACCAATTGCCATATTGACAGGGCTAAGTTTGATGGACACCTACCAGCTCCTTTGTAAAAAAAAAAAAAAAAAAGAAAGAAAGAAAAAGTTACTATGGTTACAAAGTGCTGTACACTGTGCTTGGTGGAGGCATGAGTGTAGCGGAGACGATGCAGAGCAAAATGCTAGTGGTGGGTGTAAACTCAGGGGTTAGATTTTATCAGTAACACAGTAAACTTTGAGGTTAATAAGGTCGGTCAACAATGATGAGGAAAATATGTGTGTTAAGTGACTAAATGTGAGAGGGATGTTAAACACACAGACCAAGCCCCCTCCAGCAC